AGTTCACACCACTCGATTAACGTTACGCTAGCGTAAGTCGTTGTGTCTGAACATAGCCATATTCGCGAAAAAGTAGTAGTCATTTAATTTATTCGCGCGTATCGAAAGCGTCGTTCATGCGCATGCGCATTCACATTTCTATCGGAGTTTTCGTTTCAGCGAAATTGGTAGTTCGAACTGTTTCTACTTTTTGCGAAGCGAGAAATGTGCGCAAATAATCAGAGCTCAGGAACCGAACCGACGCCTTCGATTCGCGCGAATAAATTCCTCTAGTGGAAAACCGGCTTAAAGAACCTCTTTAAGCACACGGCCAACAATAGACCTTTCCGCTAAGCCCCGCCCCTTGGATATTGTTGCTAAGGTCCCACAAAACGACTATAGCCCGGTTCTCACGAGAGCCCTAGTATCCGGATCGGGAGCTAACCGTTAGCGCTAACCGTTAGCACCTGCGTGAGAACGCCCGATCGGTTAGCGCTAACCGTTAGCATTATCCGGATACCGCTAACGCTTAGCAAGCGCTATCGGTTAGCAAGTTGAGCGCGTTTTTATCATCAACCAATCACACGTACGCGTTTACAATATCCAGTTTCTTATTGGACAGGCCAGTGATTCGATCATCATATTTTTGGTATCCGGATCGGGATTTTTTTCGTACGGACGCAAGGCAGCTAACGGTTAGCAGGATCCGGATCCTGCTAACCGTTAGCAGCCGTGTGAGAACATAGCCAGTGGCTATGTTCATACACGTTGCTAACGGTAGCAGGATCCAGATTACAAACATTAGGCGCTCACCCGTGCGTTCATACAAGAAATGCCCGATCCAGATACCAAGAAGATGATGATCGGATCACGGTCCAATTGGAAACTGGAAATTGGAAATGCGTACGTGACGTGTGATGCTTAATGATAGAAACGCGCTCAACTTGCTAACCAATAGCGCTCGTTAACCGGTAGCGTATATGGATCCTGGTAACGGTTAGCGCCAACCGATCGGGCGTTCTCACACGGATGCTGACGGTTAGCTCCCGATCCGGATGCTTGGGCTCTCGTGTGAACTTGACCAATGTTAAAACATACGAAAAAACATGTCGTGCGTTTGTAGGACAACACGTGTGCTTGTTAGACGCGCGCGTATTACTGGCCCTGTTCTGATTGGTCATTCGTTTGACTGACACTCTGGGAAGGTCCATTATCTATAATTACCTTGTTAGCTTTCAGGTAGAAAGGAAAGTACCTATTATCAGTTGCTGGTCTCGTAATAGAAAGAAAAACCGCGTGTCCATAGAAAAGAGTGCCAAGTTCTATACCATTCAGAATCTTAGCCCTATAGAATGAAAAATGGATGCGATTAACAAAAATATGACGTTTATTAGTCAGTTTGGATAGAATGGATATGTATAGAATAAATGGATGTCAAACCTTTTCCATTTTGCAATAAATCTATTCGACATCCATATTGTAATTGGACCAGCTAGAAACCAGAGGGTAAAACCAGCAAGAAACAGCATGTAGAAGTTGAGTTTGGTGGCGTTGTGCTTTATTGTGAAAAAACAGGAGTAGTACGTCCACAGTAGCCCTGGAATGTGAATAGCAGACCTGTCAAGTATCAGGGATCTCGCGGGAGTCTCACGCATTTAACTTCGACCTGACACCCTCACGCGAGGCCTATATTTCTTACGCATTCCAAAATTTCTTCAAATTATATTTTTTAATGTGCTATTTTTTCAAAACAAGAATACAACATGTACAAACTCGGCTATCGGCGCTAGTGTTCCGTAGCGATCGTCACAGTGTTCGACGCCGCCTCAGCAGCAGAAACTGAAGAAAACTAAATG